GCACACTGAATTTTATGCACAGTACTAAATTAATTATTAACTTGTTTATCAAATTAATATTTGATTAAACAGTTACCAATAAGAGATCTGCATGTTTGTGTTTTTAACACTTAATAACTTGGTCATTTTTCAAAATAATTTTTACGCCCATCACTACTAACAACGTGTTTTATAACTCAAAAATAAAATAAAAGTTTAAGTTATGAAATACTCATCACCAGTTTTTTTTTCCTAAAGCTTAATTCATATCCATTTTTTAGAATTTGCAGAATTGTTTACTTTTCCCTGATGATGATATCACTTCTCTTTAACATCAATTTTTTACCGGCTTCTCTTGACATCCTATCACATGTTTCGACAAGAATGAAAAAGTATGTCCATTTTTCGCATAAAAATTTTTTCAACGAATATTATAAATAAAAAATTTCTAATCACGTTCCATGGTATGCATATTAGGAAATTATTTAATATTAATGGCGTTTAGAAAATTGTTCCCATATTAATACATATATTAATATATTAATACCATATTTTGTAACATAAATTATTATTTAATTCTTTGGTCGTATTTGAAGTATTAGAAAGGAAGGAACTAGCTGGTTAATTAGTTTGAATATTGATAATTAAGAAAAAAATAAAACCTAAAAATCTAGTTATGATTCGAAAACAGCATTATAAACTTCATGTTTTAATAGGTTTATGGAAGATATAAAATACATGTATTATGAAATTGGCAGGAAAAATCAGATAAATAAATACCTGGAACTTTGGCAGGTTTTTTCTTTATAATTTTGTCTTGCAAAATTATGGTGTTGTAAAAAATCCATTGATACAGATTTATTTGGATGAAAATTTCTATATCGACTTGAGGAATGCTTTATGACAAGTAACTTTGTTCACTTTTTAACTAATTAAAAAAAAAAAAAGGAGTTTTTTTAATTTCTATGTCAAAATTTATTTTTTATTTGTATGTTTATTTATAAAGGAATGGAAGCCTTTTCTTCTAACCTATGCTCTTCGAATATGAATTTATCAGTAATAAAGGCATCCTTACACTTCAATTGCTTTAGACTCTCGGATATTTTCTCCTGAGCGAGTATATGTCATTCCAAGTAGGTGTGCCTCTTGGACAAATGTTCCAAATAATTTCATTGGGGATGGTAGAGTCAAACCTTGCGTTTTGTGAACAGTCAACGAAAAGGCATTTTACGAGTGGAATTGAGTTCTTGAAGCATATGCTCCATTCAAATAGAAAATTGGTGTAATTTTTTGACAATTCAATGTCTACCATTCCAGAATTCACATCAAAACGAAAAAAACGATTAATTTTGCAACCAAAATTTTTTAATAACTAAAGATCGTTATAACATGAAATCGTTATGACGCGACTAGTAATTTCGTTATCTGTTATACCGAGAGTCTACTATAACGAGGTTTGACTTGTATAATAATAGAATGAATAAATAAATAGTTAAAAGAAAGTAACCTTTACAATCAAACAAACAAAAAAAATATTTTATAAAAGTAAAAATTTTTTTTTTTCTGTTCGTTTTGAAGTGTATATATTGTTAATTATTTTTTTATAATAATAAAAGCAAAAACGAATATTTGATCTAAATTTTCTATGGAAAAACAATTGTTTCTTTGTTTTTTGATTCATTTTACAAAAAATCCTGTTTCAAAAAATCATTTTATTTACAACAATATTCATTCATCAATGATTAATGCATTAATGCATAAAATACATTAATTAATATATTAAACCACAGCCGTATTCAGAAATTTTGATATAAGAGGCAATGATAAACGCCTTAACGTTGAACTTTACATACGTTAAAAAGGTTAGTGATAAAATTTCTATTTAACTACAAATATACTTCTAATAGTACAAAATGTTATTGGATTACTAAAGATCAATTCAAATGATTATTTGGTTGGTTGGCATTTCGGCTATGCTTGAATGGTGATTTGCATATGATAATCAAAAAATCGAGATATAAAATTTCCCTATTATCCATCAGTGGGTAAGTTTTAAATTTTTTATATATTAAATATATTATTTGTTTTTGTTGCGTGAATTTGATCAAGGAGAATTCATGAAAAGAATTGCACTCACCATGACTTGCAGATAGTAATATTTTTCCATAGAATCGTAATGCAAGTTTAAACAAGAGATTTAAGATTATGTCAGCAAATAATTAATAAAAAAGATAAGCCAAATAAAAATCATTGGAGTTATTCCATACCTAACACCTTATACTAAAGAACCAGACAGCTTCGATATGTATGATATTCTGGGAATTCACTATAGGAAAGGAATCATTATTTTATATTGGATATTTTAAAAGGAGAGAGAGACCTCAAATCACGGATGATATTCCTGAATTTTATGTCAAATTGACGAAAAGATGTTGGGATGAATCATGATCAGAAAATAGGCCAACAGCTGAAGAAATGGAAGGCTGTGTCTTGGCAAATATGACGTTAATCTAATTGATGAACCAAAAGGAATTATCAAATTAGCAGAAGCTAAACAAAAAGAAATCATCAATTCAGAAAAATACTTGCCAGATTCAAAGAATCATAAACATCATCTAGAATCTTTATATACAAGTCATCATCTACTAAATTAATCAATCCAGCAAGCTGAAAGAAATATCATGCCCTTCATCAACTGAACCGGCTCAGCAGTATAATAATGTTGATAGCATACTTGTCTCAAATTCTATTGACAAATAAGCCTTTTATCGTAATTAGATTGGTAAATATTTAATAGGCAATGATTGTGGCTTGGTACTACTATTATTTATTATCCTATAACTATATTTTTGTATTGGATCATTTATATAATTAATAAAGTTGCATTAAATTATTTTTGCTCATTTTATCAGGGTCATTGATGTAATATTTTAGTATACCAAAGCTCATTGGGCCCCAGTCTATTGCCAACCCTGCATTGTATTATTATTATTTTATGCAGGGTAATTCTTTAAAATTTAAAAAGGTGGGACCAATAATTTATCGGTCTCGGGAAACGTTGATAATAATAATAATAATAAAGTTATTTCATACTTTCAGGGAATGTAAAACTATATTGACGCTATGGAAGTTCGTACATGACAAAAATAAATCATTATTCAAACAAACAAAATCAATAATAATAACAATAATATACTTGTCGAAAAGTTCTTTACGATTTTGTTTATTTAATAATAGTAAAACAATGTTGGTCAAACCATCCATCAAATTTATATTCAAACCTAAACTTAAAAGACAAGGGTATTGAACCCAATTAAAAGGATGTATTTATATAACAAAGAGGTCATTGAGTCGTATGTTTTATTCAATATGTACTTTAATGTGCCGTCCCTCAAAACGTGAAAAAAACATATTATAATAATAGTAATAAAAAGTCTGGAACGCTATAAAACTATTATTATAATAATCCAAATATTTACGACGACGAAAAATTACTTTAATAACCAATTTTATAACCCTATACCAATAAAAGTTAATGAACGAAACACGTGCAATGATGGGCTAAAATGTTTTTGTTGAAAAATGATAATTATTTTAAATTCACAGTAACAATCTTTTTGACAACAATACACACTCCTTTAAACGTGATAGTCAAGTTAGTAATAGTTTATTTTCATCAAAAATTTTTTATCAATCAATGTAAAAAAAAATTTTTTTTTTTTTGTAAAAATATGGATATTTTTCCGCAATAATCAATTTTAAATTATTGATATTTAAGGAATATTGTTGCTTTTTATGAATATTTACTTATTAGATTATTCTATGCATTCATGAAGTAACATGGAAGATTAATAACCTTGTTATTTTAGATTTATTTCTTGTTGTATATATGTTTGTGTAAGTCCAAAAATAAATTTCTCATTCATCAATCATTATTAGTATTATTAGATTCATTTATTGGCTAATAAAAGAAAAACAATTAAAAAGTATTAAAAAAGTCGAATTATTTTGATAATATTCATTTTCCTAATAAGGCAGTTAATTGGAATAATCGTTTTGGGGCAGGAATAACAGTGTTCTCGATTAATCTTAATCTAATTTTAGAATAAAAATTGAAAATTTTTTTTTTAATTGTTAATATTGTCAAAACAAACGATGTGTCATCAAATAAAATCAATTGATAAAATTAACCAACTATTAATTAATTTATAAAGACACACACAATTGTTAGAATAACAATAATAATAGCAAAAGAAAGTATCTTTCTCTTTCTTTAAAAAAATTTACAGGTTTCAAATGTTTTTAATTTGGTCTTTCTTGTTAATTGTTGTTTGTCAAAACGATTTGTTTGTTATTTCTATTTTTCAACAACCCGAGTAACAAAACAAAAATTACGGAAGCAAAATGGCCGACTAGTGAGTGATCACATTCTAGTACATATTAATATATATTATTATTATACATGCAGATTTTATCTATTATAATTATATTAATTGATTTGCCACCTCCACATTAATCAAACCTAAGTTTATTTATTGATCTTCCATTATAGGATAGATGCAAACAATATTTTTTATGTAGTAAATAAGCCATTACTATTGTTGTGATCATAAAAACTATTTATTTGGAATTTACAAAACCGAGTTGAACGCCAATTAGTCGGTTTTAGTTTATAAAATTCTCAAATCTGGAATTTACCGCATAGTAACTATGCCTAATATGAATATATTCTTTTTGTTGATTTTTCTCGCCCTTTTTTATTGACAAAACAAAGCAAATCGACTCTTTTAGTAATTGGTATCCATAAAAAAAAATAAATAAATAAAAAGAATGAAAGGGAATTTAAGTTTTTGAAAATTCGAAGAACGATTTTTTATATTATATAAAAAAATTATAAATTTTTTTTTTTTTTAAAATTTAAAAAAACTTGATAAATTATATATATTTTTTTTTTTGCTGGTCAAAAATAGAATTTATTTTTTATTTACATCGATTTAATATAATAAAAACACTTTGCAAACATGCAATTCATTAACAACGATTTTTCGTCTCCTTTATCACTTTATAACCTTCCAAATGAATTATTATTAATAATATTTTCAAATCTTGATATGGAAACACTGATAAATTTATGCAGCGTTTGTCAAAAGTTTAAAATCTTGGCTGAAATTGCTTTAGAGAAAAAATTCGAAGAGCGCAAGATTGGTTTGACTCTTTATTTTGAACAAGAACAACGATGGAAATTCAATGTAAATTTTATTTTTGACTGCGTAAATCAACAAAATGGAAATTTCGTTTTCAAGCCCATAGCAAATAAGAAAACATCACAGGATGTCACATTTTATCATTCAACAGTCTTACGCAAGCCTACATTATGGAAAGTTGCTTATAACGACAATGTCGGAAGCGATGTTAGACAAGACGAGAATTCACAACAATATGTTAATTTATTACAAAAACCATGTCCATTGTCGATAAAACCAAGAAATCAAACTTTCCAAAAAATTCAAAACGTTTATAGAATCGGTAGCGGTTCAAAACATCTTAAAGTTCCATACAAATTCACCTATTCAACCAAAAGCAACAACATTGACGAAGCCGATAGACCAAGATCACGCGGTGGTGATCGTATAATAAGCCATTTATCGTTTGAGTGTTCACCTAGCTTCTTTTATACACAAGGCTCAACAACTCATAGATTATTGATGTCGATAACAAAATCTTTGAAATCACCATCAGCTAAAAAACACATCATTGCCACAAGCACTACGAATTCATCCATACCTCCACCATCACCAAGGAATTATACATCTTCTTCTATATCCTATCAACCCGAAACAAATGCTTCGAGACTTGAAGAAAAGAAAAATCTATTCTCAAAATGGTCTCGAGGTGCAAGACGTTAATTCTATCTATTATTATAATTTTATTATGCTTTGATTAATTTATCAATATAATATGTAAATAGCAAAAATTAGATTTAAAATTTAAAATAATTATTTAGAATTAATATTATCAAAAATAGACAATAAAAATTACGATGTAAATACAATATATACAATAATTACACAATTAATTACAACAAAACAAAATTTCTTATTTTTTATTTTTTATTTTTTATTTTTTTTTTTTTTTTTCAAGAAAAAAATATATACTTTAACACATCATTATATCTATCATATCATATCATTATTAATATTCATTTTGTAAATAAATAAATATACTCTAATACTATTGTTTGAAATATTAAATACCGTAAAGTCGCACGAAAAATATTAATATTAATATATACCTCTACTACTATTTTAAAAACAATTGAAAATCATTTGTTACACAGTTGTAAACGTAAAAAGGAGGTGCTATATATCTTTCAAGACTCTTCTCATGTCTAACAACCTACCCCTATTAACCAGGGACGATGAATTTCTGCTTACTTCTGCGGTGTTTAAAAACGTTATTTCTGCTAAAGTTCTGCCTATTTTATTTGCAATTCTGCTTAATTCTACTATAAATCTTATTTTATTTAATTAAAAAAATAAAAAAAATCACCAATTAATTTAAATAGAGTTATTATCCCTTAAAGGAAATTTACGCCAAATTTGGCGTAGATTAACAATTACGATTTTTTTACCATAATAATAATAATAATAAATAAAATTTTTTCAGTATAACTGAGTGTGGTATGTACTATTTAGAAAATGTTTTTGTTGTACGTGAAATATGTGAAATTCAAATTTACATATGGGACGCTCTAGGAAAACCGGGTTTCGAGACTTTTGGTCAAAAAAATTTTTTTTGCATAATATTAATCATGACTATAATTTGTGATGTGGTTTACTTATAGTGCAAGTCACTTGGTCCCACAACTTTCTGTGCCACGCCGCCAATTTTGAGAAAAAATTTCCAATCAAAAATGCAATAAAAATTTTACATTCACATGATTTTTAAAAATTGTCAAGTGCTAAATAAATATATTAAAATTTTTCTTTTACATTTATTCCTATATATACATATATAAATGATGATTAATTAAAATAAAAGAGAAGTTTATATAAACTATTGAATGATTGACAAACCCTTCGTTAGTATATTTTTGTTCATAGATCTTGCTTGTCCTTAAAGCTTACTTCGATTAAATAATTGATAAACGTTCATTAGAATATTTTGCAAATTGCTTATTAGTCGGACGACATTTCACAGTGACTGATTTTAATATATGATCGACATGACACGTTTTCTGTACAACGGACTTTGGCGAATGAATTGAACGTAAACTCATTATTAAACAATTTTCGTGCCTCTAAGTAAAAACAATCACTTGCCTTTGATTTTTAAAACGCGAGCTTTATGCATTTGTAGCTCTTCCAGTTATGGAGTAATAGCCTCTCAAAGAAACCTATGGTTTTTGACTTCGGAAGCTTAATTCTTTTCGGAAATCAGCTCTATTGAGATCGTTTTAGTATGATAAGACAGAGTACATTAAGAGCTTTCAGAAAATATATGATTCGGATGGTTTTCTTGGGGAAGGAAGAAATTAAAAGCAAAAAACGGTTTTATAAGTTATTTATTATTATATATAAGAGCTTTTAACAAATTTTTTTTTCGCATTACTGTTTTCTAACTTTTATTATATTAATATTAATAATGATTAGATAATATATGAAAACACAATCTTTTAATTGGAGTTTCTACTCAAAAGGTTACAAAAGAAAAAATATTTTAATATATTGATTAATATTTCAACTTAATAAATTATTAATTATTAATATAATCTTTAAATTGAACTTTTGTTTTTTTATTTTTATTGTGAAGAATTTTTAAGATAGTAGAATTAATGACAAAAATAAGAAAAACAAGATAATCTCAAAATTGAATGAACAGATAACAAAAAGGAAAACTATTAAATATTAGTATTAGGTATCAAAAATTATATTAAATGAAATTTAATTAATATATTTATTAGATTTTTTTTTTTTTTGTCAATATTTAGTTGATTATTTGTTACATGTTAAAAATTAAATATGAAAAAAATATTTTAAATGATTATATGGCTAAACAATGTACCGCTAAAGAAAAGTTTGTGATCTCACTGAGTTTTATATTAACATTATCCCTTAAACGAAATTGCGTGCCGATCAGCACGCAATTTACAATTCAAAGTTTTTGTCACAAATAAAAGTTTTTCAATTTGATTCTGAGCATAGCATGTACTTAATGAAAAATGTTTCTGGAAACCCATTCTTATTCATCGGCACAATTTGACTCATTTATGGAAAATGTATTCCGTAAATTTTCCGAAAACTCCAAAATTCCGAAATTCCGAAATTCAACACGAAATCTTTTTTTAAATGAAAAAACTTGTCCCAAATTTCCTATAAATTTGCAAAAGTATGAGGCGCCTTCAGATAAGTAATAATTTAATTTTTTTAACCATTTTTTGAAAATAATCACTTTTGAAAATAGTCAAATATTCAACAAAATTATCCAATTTTATTTCAAATTTTCATAAAGAAACTAAAATGAATCCGATTGAAACCCAAGAACAAACTATGGATATTTCCGAAGATAATGAACCAATTTTTGAAGATTATGATGATGATACTAGTTATTACATTGCTAATATGACAAGAAGACTAGGTGGAGTTTACAACGAATTAAATGATAATGAATTAATTGAAAGTTCTAGTGATTCAGAAGTAAACAATGAAGAAGAAGATGAGGATGGCGAGGATGGCGAAGATGAAATAATGGAAGGCTC